AAAAAAATAAAAAAATAAAAAAATAATGATTGAATAACAAAAATATATCAGCTTGCCAGACGATTCGACACCCTAGGCATGTACTTTGGCCTTCCTACTCATATGAACTCCTGCTAAAAATAACAGTAGCATCGATCAATTCTGTGTGGACAAGAACAAACCCCCAGCTGTTTTAATTTCCTTTTCGCTACAAACAAATTACAGTTTACCAGTAGGAAGTCTCTAGTCTACTTTAGCCTGTACACCTTTATCTCTCTACTTAGCTTAGAGATACGAACTGAATATGTTTTTTTTTTTTTTACAGTGCTCAGAGGAACTAAATATCTCACAAACATCGCCTGATCACACTCATGACAATCATAAACAATAAATAAGTAAATAATGAATCTCGGATCTCGGATCAATTCCTTGAGGCCTGAAGCTTCGGAGTCTTTGTCGGGATTCATCAACGTAATGTAAACGAGCCTCCATGCTCTCGGTCGGAGGAGTGATTACCTTCATGCTGAAAGAAATTGTTTTTTTTATATATCTTCGGTACAAAATAATTTAAAAAATGATGAAAAAAAAACTATCGTCCTGTTAAAATGAAAGTGTTGATTCTTTAAGTGTAGTTCCTTTTCTATATAAAAAAGGAATCTATATATAGCTTCAAATGTGAAACAGGATACGAAAGAAGTAAGGTTTTATAAATACACACTTTCGAGAAATTAATTAAATAGTAATGATAATGATCAAATGAATAAATAGAAGAAAAAAAAAACAATCCAAAGAAAATTTTCCAAAAGTTTCTCTCTCTTCTGTAAAATATCATCTCTCATACAATATTGAAATTAGTTTTATGATAACAGAAGATAATGATAATAAAAATGTGACAATCATATCAATTCCGATGATATGAATATTAAGAGTAACAGACATTGACTAATGATGATTACTATGATCAAAATAATTATGATCCTAATGATTATTTTGATGATTATCGAGATAATAATGACGATAATGACTACTACAACAACAACAATGCAAATAGGAACTATAATAATAATAATAATAATGATAATAATAATGATAATAATAAAAACAATAATAATAATGATGATGAGAATAA